TCACCTGCGCATGCGTCAGACTGCCATAGCGTGTCACTGTTTACATACAAGCGTCTACCCATGAGTCTTTGCGTTTTTAGCGTGTGTTGTTATCGTCGCTTGGGACTCAATTCCCGCGCGTGCGCAGGTGACGACCCTCCCACTTTAACTAAATTTGGTGCAGTTTTCGAGTTCTCAGTTCCATCTTCACGGCCTGACGAACACTTGAAGATTTTGCTGTTTTTCACAGAAAACTCAAGTTAAATCTCCATTTCCCGGATATTTCCGAAAAGTCAGACCCCAAAATGAAAACAGACTGAAGAGAATTGGAAGTACATATTACTATTCGACACCACAAACACATTCGGCAAAGGTGGGTCAAACAGTTTTTGATTTCCCAATCAAAAACAACTTACAAGAGAAATTATACATATAAACCTGAAACTCACTACTTGGCAAATGAGCCTTGCTACTGTAAGCAGATACGACAACCGTCACGCCACAAGACACTTCATCCTAAAAGACACTTGATATAGCGTGTGGTGAATGCACTTTTTATGTTTATTGTTTAGCCGCACTACTATTTATCACTATATATGTAGTAAAGAGCTTTAAGTAGTTGTACTTACATTCATACTATACTAGTATATTCACAGAATATTTAAACGAATTAATCAAATTTTGTGATTTTCTGCCATCTTAGCAAAATGTAGTCAATCTTTTATTTGAAAGGCGCCCTCAATGTCGACATTTTGGGGTCAGTTATTAGTGGTCCTATACCCGTATTTAAATATTGAAATGTTGCTAGGCTAAATAAAACAGTGTACCCGTTCAGTTACAGCATCAATTATTTAACAGACTGAAAATAACTTGATGAAATGAGATTCGGGGGTTGTGTTTACAGAAAAACAAAAACACATATAGCACTGTGTTGTCATAAAAGAATTTACTAATCAAATTAATCAAACACAAGAAAGCATCACAGTCGGCCCGCACAGAGAGCAAACAAAACTGTTAGATTGTCAAGTATCTGACCTTGCTTATTTATCTGATAAAGGTTGCTAAGTGACGTTACAACTATGTGACGATAAAATACGTGGCTTAAAACTATAGTATTAACCTGTACTAGACGGCGACGGGTACAATAAAATCAGAAAACATAAATACTCGCCGAACGTGTTGTTGTCACACCATCGCGCAGCTTCCCAGCTAGGGATTCTGGGTAAAAACTCTGCGTCACAGGCGGAAATGGCAGCTGTAGGTTGACATTGTGACCTATATGTTGCTAATGAGCGTTTTGTTTTAATGGGATTGATTGTCATTTACGACAGTCCTCATTCACAAATTAGAAGAAAATGGCTGTAAAAATCACCGTTACGTCTATTGCTGTGTTAATTGTCTTGAATTCCCAAGGTATTTTATATTTAATTTGCTTATTTTCTGGTGACTGTAAAAATCATATATGACTGTAATACTTCCGCCCACACCCAGTTAATGGTCGATGTTGAATCACGCTAGTTTCACTTTGGCCTCGACTAAATGTTATATTTGATTTCATGTAATTTCTGTGTTAGCACATGTTTGTCTGTCACAGTAGCAACAACCTGCATGCCTATTTGGCGTGATGTAACCTGATATATGGTTTTTGAGTACAGGTAAAATATAATCTTTACATAACATTAAACAACGAATGGTAATGTGTATATCATTACAGCTGGAGAGAGTGGATAATGATGATACTCCATAATGATAATAATAATACATGTGGTATGTTAACGGTAGAACAGACAACGACGACATCCTGTAATCTATTACATGTTTATACATATACCAATACATATACCAATATATATATCATGATATGACATGTAATTGTGTTTTTATTGTTTTAGTGTTTTGTCAGGTTCTGATTGGACCAACTGGTATAGAATATGCCAAACCTGGAGAAGATGCAACCTTTGACTGCTCTATAGATTGGCAGTCAGTTTCAAAAACTGTACATTGGGTTAAAGTTGGTGAGACTGCTGTACTAGCTGAAATCACAGACCAAGGTTCTACTATTAACGTAGGTGATCCAAACAATCACGGTATTGTGTACACAGCGCCATACAGATATGACTTAGTTATATATAACGTGGAATTAGGAGACGATGATGGCCAGTATGATTGTTATTTTAGTTTAGACGGCAATGAAGATGGGGAAGTAGGAACACTTACTGTACTTGGTAAGTAATGACAGGCAAATTTCAAACGTGAACATTATTGTTGTGCAACACAACAGCAAAATATTCTGGTTGGCATATTGTAAGTGGAATCTCCCACGTTTTTATTACAATTCTTGGGGTGTGCTATCAGGGGGTAAAATCTCCTTTCTACTCGGGGTTCTCCACACTTGTGGGGGGGGGGGGAAACTCGTCTCGTCTCTCTATCTCGTCCCCTTGAGGTACGGGGTCGGGAAAGTCACTTTAACTTTACAGTCAAATAAGACACACACAACGAAATACGTTTCAGCTCTCGTCTTAGTCGATCTTTTGGAGCACTCTATAAGACACAGCGCCCTGGGGAAAAGTCCCCAAGACTCTCACAAGGCTGAACCAAGACTCGCCCAAGACTGGACTCTCTCAAGGCTCGCCCCTGGACTGGACTCTCTCTCAGACTGGACTCGACTGCCCAAGGCTGCGTCTGTCGTGGAGTATTCGCCAAGACCAACTCAAACTCTCTTTATTCATTTTCAAAACTCTAACCAATTACAAAGCAGTAAAAAGACTCTAAGGCGTAAACTTCAATCATAAAGCCAATCAAACTAAGTACTGAATACGTCATATCTTTTGATTAATCGTTCACTACATTAATAACTACGGAATACCAACTGTCAGAATCGCGACGGATATCTCGTAATTAGTTCCAAATCACTGAGCCATGTTCCGTCCAAAATTTCAAATAGGCCTACACGATGACAGACATAACACAGCAATTCGCTAATAATCAGTTAATTAAGTCGGTCAACAGATACGCGAAAACAAATTCATGACATAACTATCTTGTGGTTGTAACAATGTGGCAAGATACTTAATTTAAACTGTTGCGCTAGTTGTTTATCGACTGTGTTTATAAGAAAGCGGTAATCGTACAATCAAGTAAGTTGGCATAAATCTATTATATCTCGCGCATTTGATTTAGCTGGAATGTATGTATAATTCAGCAACGTAATATTCCATTAAAGTTGATCGATTGTGAACAAACGAACGTCTACGAATTGATTTATTTATTGAAGTATTTATTATAATTAATCTTTTCTGTGAATGGATATAACACTGTGATAGTGAGCTAATTGTAGGTATGATTTATTTAGTTCAAACATTTGGTATGTTTTTGCAGGCGAGTCCAGCCCGACGGAAAGAATGGACAGATCGGGACACCTTTGAAACAAACAATGCAATATACGCGTTTAAATGTATAACAAAAACAGCAGAGGCTTTGGTCAAAAAATCACATATTTTGATGTATTTCAAAATGAAGATGGTTTTTTATCAAAAGACACATTATCATGACTCATGTCACCGTAATTATACACAAATTACGTTAAGTCATCCAAAAATACTTCGGGGAAAGCATTGTCTATTCATACAGTCTATGACGTATACAGTGACGAATGAAGAAATATTTGGACATAATATCCAATCAGGATCTTTGTTCACTAGTATTCAGCATGGATCACCATCATTATGGTAAATACCAGTACTGTTTACTTCATGCCATATCCTGGAATTTATAGCTTGTTAAGACAAATAGAAGTTAGTGTATCTAATGTACCTGGATCAAATGGAGGGATTATTGCCTTTAGTAGGAACTGTCCATCATACTACAGATAGTGTGTAACACAACATACAAAAGCAAGCCACGTTGCAACACCTGTGAACTAATACATATGAACTACAAGACTCTGTTTTGCAATCATTTTGATTATTCATTTTGAGCTTGAAGTTAATGAATCCTTGATCTGTCTTTCAAAATGTCTGTCTGCCAAAATGTGCAAATGACCTTCTTCGTGTGATCATTTTCCCGACATAAATAATACAGGCTTTATATCTTAATGTTCAAAGGTATTTCGTATTGGTAAAAAGGCACATTTTTCATAAGTTTTGCAGCAATCGCGTTAATCGATAAGTTTGGCACTGCGGATGGATATGTTTATGCATCCTGTTAACCGGCTCCCTTGACAAACTGCAGACGATAATGGCTACAGCAGACGAAATGGATATTATGCAGTGGTTGTGATTGATAGGATAGGGCCAACTTGATGAAATTCTTGGACCAGTACCAGAAAATGAAGTACCAGACGAAGTGGACGGTTTTATAAAAGCACACCAGAAGCAAAGTACTTAACACCACCGAGCGTGATGTCCGTCGCTGTACCAGTGGCTAACACAGAATACCGTTTAGTTCGAAGCTGAATGTATCGAAGGGTTTATATATATATTTTAATTGTACGATGGGTCGCGGCCCAGTACCGAATAAAAATTGATTGATAATTATATAATATGGAACCGAGATAGTTTACATATCTTCAAAATTATCTTTTGAATTGAATTAAGTTGTTTTTACAAACACTGTATATATTTTATGTATCTTTGTTTTTTTATTCGCAATACTGATTATGTAGTACCATAACATGGATTATGGTAACATATCTTATGATTAATGTAAACTAAACAAATTATACGCAAGCTGTAATCGTTATTACACTTCTTTTCAACACGATACCCTCATCATCTCTGACTTCCTAAATGTATAGTTAGCGAGAGTTTATCCAGCTATGACCAATGAATATTATTATTTGCTGATTAATACATATACATATGAGTCCAGAGACACGGTGATAATTGTGGCTAAAATTATTTACTAATTTTCATGAAAATCCAATATGACTTGTAACCCTTATCTGGTCAAGTCAATGTAATATTGCATGAGGCTGGCAAAATAAGGGTTGAACATTCAAAACAGATCATCATGTGGACACAAGAATCTAACGCACGGTGTGGGAGTGATTATACAAAATGATGGATGCCGTAAATATATGCAACTACGTTCATTAAAACACTCAGTTTAGCAGCATATTGTGATTCATCTAAGTTTGAATAAATATTGTTATGTGTATATATGAAAAAAA